TTTTTTGAGTGTATGCCCAAGAGCAGTATTGCTGGATCCTGAGGTAAATTGATTCCCAATTTTCTGAAAAACTGCCATCCTGATTTCCAAAGTGGTTGTACAAGTTTGCATTCTCACCAGCAATGAATGAGTGTTTCACATACTCCACATCCTCTCTAGCATAAGCTATCATGGGTGTTTTTGATCCTAGCCATTCTGACAGATGTAAGATGGTCTCAAAGAGTTGTTTTTGATTTGCATTTCCTTGATGGCTAAGGATGTTGAAATTTTCCTTGTTTTTTGGCCTTTTGAGATTCCTCTGTTGAGAATTCTCTGTTTAGTTCTGTACCCCATTTTTTAATGGGGTTAATTAGAATTTTGATGTCTAAGTTCTTGGGTTCTTCCTATATTTTGGAGATCAGTCCTTTGTCCAATGTGGGATTGGTGAAGGTATTTTCCTATTCAGTAGGCTGCCTTTTTGTCTTAGTGACTGTGTTCTTTGCTTTACAGAAGCTTCTCAGTTTCAGGAGGTCCCATTTATTTATTGTTGCTCTCAGTGTCTGTGCTACTGAGGTTATATTTAGGAAGTGGTCTCCTGTGCCCAAACATTGAAGACAACTTTCCACTTTCTCTTCTATCAGGCTCAGTGTGAGGTTTTATGTTGAGGTCTTTGATCCATTTGGACTTGAGTTTTATATATTGTGATAGATATTGATCTTTTTTTATCCTTCTACATATTGACATCCAGTTATGCCAGCACTATTTGTTGATACTTTCTTTTTTTCCATTGTATAATTTAGCTTCTTTGTCAAAAATCAGGTGTTCATAGGTGTGTAGATTAATATGTTGGTCTTTCAATTGATTCCATTGGTCAACCTCTCTGTTTTATGCCAATAGCAAGCTATTTTAATTACTGCAGTACTGTAATAGAGCTTGATGTCAAGGACGGTGATGCCTCTAGAGGTTCCTTTATTGTTCAGGAGTGTTTTGACTATGCTGGGTTTTTTGTTTTTCCATATGAAGTTGATTGTTGTTCTTTCAAGGTCTGTGAAGAATTTTGTTAGGATTTTGATAAGGATTGTGTTGAATCTATAGATTACTTTTGATAGGATTACCATTTTTACTATGTTGATCCTACCTATCCAAGAGCATGAGAGATCTTTCCATTTTCTGGTATCTTCTTCAATTTCTTTCATCAAAGACTTAAAGTCCTTTTAAAGTAGGTCTTTCACTTCTTTTGTTAGTGTTGCACCAAGATATTTTATCTTATTTGTAGATATTTTGAAAGGTAATGTTTCTCTGATTTTCCTCTTTGCTTCTTTATCATTTATATATAGGAGGGCTATTGATTTTTTTGAGTTGATCTTGTATCCTGCCACATTACTGTAGGTATTTATCAGCTGGGGTCACTTATATATACTACCGTATCATCTACAAATAATGAAAGTTTGACTTCTTTCTTTCCGATTCAAATCCCCTTTGATCTCCTTTTGTTGTCTTATTGCTGTTGCCAAAGCTTCAAGAACTACGTTTAAAAGATGTGGAGAGAGTGGACAATCTTGTCTTATTCCTGATTTCAGTGGAATCACTTTGAGTTTCTCTCCATATAATTTGATGTTGGCTGTCAGCTTGCTGTATTTTGCTTTTATTATGTTTAGATATGTTCCATATATACCTGATCTTTCTAAAAACCTTTATCTTGAAGGGGTGTTAGATTTTGTCAAATGTTTTTGCAGAATCTAATGATCATATGATTTTTTCTTTCAGTTTATTTATATGATGGATTATATTGATAGATTTTTGTATATTGAACCAGCCCTGCATCTCTGGGATGAAGCCAGGTTGATCATGGTGGATGATTTTTTTTGATGCATCCTTGGATTCGGTTTGCCAGTATTTTATTTAGTACTTTTGCATCCATGTTCATGAGTGATGCTGTTCTCTTTCTTGGTTGAGTCTTCTGGTGGTTTTGTTATAAGGGTAGGATTACTATAGCCTCATAAAAAGAGTTTGGCAATGTTCCATTTCTATCATGTGGAACACTTTGAGGAGAATAGGTATTATCTCTTCTTGGAAGTTCTGGTAGAATTCTGCACTAAAACCATCTGGTCCTGGGCTTTTATTTCATTGTGAGGTTTTTTATGACAGCTTCTATTTCTTTGCAGTTTATAGGTCTATTTAAATTGCTCCCTTGGTCTTGATTTAATTTTGGTATATGGTATCTATCTAAAAAACTGTCCATTTCTTTTACATTTTCCAACTTTGTGGAGTACAGTCTTTTGTAGTATGACCTAATTATTTTCTGAATTTCCTCAGTGTGTGTTATGTCCCTCTTTTTATTTTTGATTTTGTTAATGTGGATGTCCTCTCTCTGTGTTTTGATTCATTTGCATAAGGATTTCTCTATGTTGTTTATTTTCTCAAAGTACCAGATCTTTGTTTCATTGATTTTTTTGTTTTGTTTTCTTTGTTTCTATTTTATTTATTTTAGCCCTCAATTTGATTATTTCCTGCCTTCTACTTCTCCTGGGTGAGTCTGTTTTTTTTTTTGTTCTAGAGCTTTCAGGTGTACAGTAAAATCACTAATGTGAGCTTTCTCCATTTTCTTTTTTTCCTCTTTTTATTACTTTATAAGCAATATCAATCAAAATTCCCACTTTCTCCCCTCCTCCCACTTCCCTCCTGATCCCCTACACATCCTTCCTCCACCCCCTCAAGTCCTAAGAGAGGGCAAAGCAGCCTGCACTGTGGGAAGTCCAAGGCCCTCCCCACTCCATCCAGGCCTAGGGAGGTGTGCATCTAAATAGACTAGGATCCCAAAAAGCCAGTACATGCAGTAGAGACAAATCCCAGTGCCATTATCATTAACCCCTCAGTCTGCCCAAATTGCCAACTACATTCAGAGGGTCCAGCTTGATCCTATGCTCATTCATTCCCAGTCTAGTTGGAGTTAGTAAACTCCCATTAGATCAGGCACACTGTCTCAGTGGGTGACCAACCCCTTGTGGTCCTGACTTCCTTGCTCATCGTCTCCCTCCTTCTGCTCTTCAACTGGACCTTGGAAGCTCAGACCAGTGCTCCGATGTGGGTCTCAGTCTCTGTCTCCATCCATCACTGGACGAAGGTTCTATGGTGATATTCAAGGTAGTCATCAGTCTGACTACGGGACAGCGCAGTTCAAGCGCCCTCTCTTCCACTGCCCAGTGTCATAGCTGGGATCTGCCCCGTGGACTCCTGGGAACCCCTCCATAGCTAAGCCTCTTGCCAACTTCAAAATGGCTCCCTCAATTAAGATATCTCCTCCCTTGCTCCCATATTCATCCTTCCTCCATCTCAACCATCCCACTCCCCCAAGCTCTCCCCAATCCTCTCCTTTCCCCCCTCTCTTCCCATCTTCCCTTCCTTCTACTCCCTGCCATCCCCATGCTCTCAACTTTTGCCTGGTAATCTTGTCTGCTTTCAATTTCCAGGAGGATCTATATATTTTTTCTTTGGGTTCACCTTATTACTTAGCTTCTCTAGGATCATGAACTATAGGCTCAATGTCCTTTGTTTATGGCTAGGATCCACTAATGAGTGAGTATATACTGTATTCATTTTTTGGGTCTGGGTTACCTCATTCAGGATAGTGTTTTCTACTTCCATCCATTTGTATGCCAAATTCAAGATTTCTTTTTTTTTTTTACCACTCAGTAGTACTCTAATATGTACATGTGCCAGACTTTCTTTATTCATTCTTCCATTGAGGGGCATCTAGGTTGTTTCCAGGTTCTGGCTATTACAAATAAGGCTGCTATGCACATAGCTGAACAAATGCCTTTGTAGTATGATTGAGCATCTTTTGGGTATATGACAAAGAGTGATATTGCTGGATCCTGATGTAGGTTGATTCCCAATTTTCTGAGAAACCACCATCTTGATTTCCAAAGTGATTGTATCCTTCTGGGGTTTTGAAGTGTTGAAGATAAATTGTTATAGCTGTAGTTAGAGTTTTTCTCAGTTATAATAAAAGATAAATTAAATATAAAACTTTAGACTCACAAACACAGGATAGATAATATATTCCTAAATTTGTCAAATATAAATGTAGATATAACTGTTGCTTGATAACTGTTTTGTATATGTAATCTTACTATGTTAAAGTTAAAACCTTCCTTTTTATTTGGACAGAAAAGGGGAAATGGTGTGGGAAGTTAATATGTATATGTGTTGCTTTTGTTGATTAATAATAAATCTGCTTTGGCCAACCACAGTGCAGAATAGAGCAAGGCAGGAACTCCAAGCAGATAAAGGAAAAAAGAAGGCAGAATCAAGGAAACGCCATGTAGTAGCTGCCAAAGGAGAAAGATGTGTGGAACCTTCCTGGTAATCCATGAACCTCGTGGTAAAATATAAAATAATATAAATGGGTTAATTTAAGATGTAAGAGTGAGTTAATTAAGAAGCCTGATCTAATAGTCCAAGCAGTGTTATAATTGATACAGTTTCTATGTGTGGTTATTTGGCTCTGGTGACCAGGAAACAAACAAGCAGTTCCAACCTACCTGCAACCACCACCCAGGCAATGAAGGTCTTTTTTCTCCTCTCTTGTAGTTGATCACATATTGAATCTTTAAGGGACCTCCTAAATTAACTTTAGATTGGACCCTGGCACTATAATCTTTGATCAATATGACATTAGTAAACATCAATTTCTCTAGCTTCTGAAAACTCTTCTTCTACCATGTAAAATAAGCTGAACTCACTTGACATAGGTTGAGAATAACTCACTAGCCTGCTAAAATGGCAGACTGTGAGTGAATCCCAATTGAGCTGCTAGATGACTGCACGTCCCTGAACTACACAGCTAAGAACAGATAAAATGCTCAGCTGAGAATTCTGCAAAGAACTATGTGAGTCATGAACTGTCTAGACATCAAATTATGAAATATTTATTATAACAATAAAAAATAAATGTAATACAAAATAAACAGATACATTTAATTCATATAATAAACAATAACACTCAAATAATACAAAGTAGAAAAACAGAAGATATTTGGTAGATAGATTTTTCTCAATTGGGAACAGGTGAAAGGAAGCATCAACTCAGATGCTTCTCTTAGTTTGTGGTTGGTGTTTTGATTCTTTCTTTGAAGAATTCTCTTATTTCTGTACAGACAGATTTAAACCAAGTTGTAACAAATCCTGTCAGCACTTTGAAAAACAGTTGTCAGAAGGATACAGTAACAATAAATGAAGAAAGAAGTAACATGTGGTTACAGTGATTCTAGTTTCTAATGAAGGAAAATAATGATGGCGAGCTAGCTGCATGGATGGATCCAGATGGGGCCTCAGACATCCTGCTGCAGCTGTCCCTTGTGAAGAACACTGTGGCACTTAACAGTCTTGGGTAGAAAGGTTGTTTCATAGTCACTGTTGAATAAAAACATGTTATTTTAGTACAAATTTCCTCTCAGACACTAGACTTACCTCAGTTCTGACTGCAATAGTTTCTAAAGACTTTCCAAAACAACTAGACAAATTGCGTCAAGCAAAGAAATATCAGGAATGTGAAGATCATAGAGCTACAGATGTGTGACTATAAGTCCAGAATCTCACCTCCATTCTAGACTGTGGATTATAAACTGATAGCTGTAAATCTCTGGGTATTAGGGTGCTAACTGCTGACTTCAAAGAAAATTTTACTTCACTTAGTCTATTATTTCAGAAATTCATTGTGCAGTATATCTGATTTCAACCATTTAGGAAGACTAACTTTTCAGCATTTCATCTGTATTCAAGAGAAGCAAGCAGAGTGACAGAATATTTTGAAAGTAGCAACATAATAAACACTGGCACAGGGCTTTGTTCTTGAGAATGGTTGATATTTTAACCAAGTAATTTTTTTCTAAGAACTCTGCCATCCTGTGTAGTCCCATGGGCCACTAGGAGTAAAAAATTAAGACATGAACTTGAGTACAGTGAGTACCTCACACAGGATTCAACTGGGCATATTGACCATGCACATGCACAGATTACATTTTCAGTTTTGATTAAAAATGGTTATAAAATGGTAAGTCCTGATCCTTCTATCATTTGATTAGCAATTATCTGGATTTATGGATGTTTTAGTGATGACATGTATTTGAACCAGTCTTCGGTTTTCTTCTGTTCTGTCTTAGTATATATAGCTCTCAGTATAGAAAGATGCTGTCAGACTCACAAAACCACAGTGAATGCAATCTATACTGCCACTAATTCACTCTGTAACCTTGAGTGCTACACAGACCTTAACAAAGTTTTTTATTAATTCTCAAATGTAGGATTAGGCAGATGTGGACATTGCGAAACTTTATAAAACATTTGAGGCTTTTCAAGTACAATCTTGTACGTAATATGATAATCTTGATCCGATGTAGCATTATCTTTCTGATATGAAGTACAGTGCTTGGAGAGATGTTGAATAGTCAATAACTATTTCCAATGAAAATTTAATAACTTTTTAAAATTAAAATTGGCCAAAATAAGGAACATATTTTTTATATATTTGGTTGAGATGAAAGGATTAATGCCACATTTTAAAAAATCATGTTGAATCACATGAGTTAATAAATGGGAATGCCTAAAACTGACAATCTACTGTTATTCTAAGGGCATTGTCAATAAGACAAATGGCAGCCAGAAGAATGGGAAAAGGTCTTCATCAACCCCACATCTGACAGAGGATTAATATCCAACATATATAAAAAAACTCAAGAAAGTAGACATCAAAATACCAAATAATCCCATTAATAATGGGGTACAGATTTAAACAGAATTCTCAACAGAAGAATCTCTAATGGCCAAGATTAACGTAAGGAGTTGTTCAACATCCTTTGCTATCAGGGAATGCCAAATGCAAACGACTCTGAGATACCTTTGTTCACTTCTCAGAATGGCTAATATCAAAATGCTAATGAGAGCTAATGCTAGAGAAAATGTGGAGTAAGTAAGAAAAACACTCCTCTACTAGCAATTTGAGTGAAGAAGTGTATAGATAGTTTGGAAATCAGTTTGGTGGTTTCTCAGAAAATTGGAAATCACTCCACCTCAAGACCCAGCATTACCATTCTTAAGCATATACCCAAAAGAAGCTCAATCATACCACAAGGACACTTACTTAACTATGTTCATAGCAGCATTATTCATAATAGCCAGACCTGGAAACAACTACATGCCCATCATCTGAAGAATGGATAAAGAAAATGTGATATTACAAAATAGAGTATTACTTAACCAAAAATAAAAATGACACCATGAACTATGCAGGCAAATGGATGGAACTAGAAAGAAATGATTCTGAGTGAGGTAACTCAGACTCAGAAAGACAAAAATGGAATGTTCTCACTCATAAATGTATGCAAAGCAAAGGATAACCAGGCTACAATCCTAAGCCATAGAGAAATTAGGCAACAAGGAGGACCCTAAGTGGGATGCATGGATCACCCTGGGAAAGGTGAATAGGTAAGATCTCCTGCAAACTTTTGTGGGATAGAGAGGTAAAGGGGAGGGAACAGGGGATGAGAAAATGAGGGAATGAGATGTTCCAGATGGGGAAAAGATGGACTTGGAATGAGCACTGAAAGAGATATCTTGATAGAAGGAGTGAATATGAAGTTAGGAAGAAACCTACTACCAGAGAAACTCCCTGGAATCCATAAGGATGACCCTAGGTAAGATTCCTAGCAACAGAGGAGAGAGTGCTATGATCAGATTGGAAACTATCCTAATTGTCAACATAAAGGCTTCATCCAGTGATGGAAGCAAATGCAGAGATCCACAGCCAAGCACTGTGTTGAGCTTCTGAAGAGAGAGAAGAAGAGTATCGATGACCAAAAGAGGTCAAGATCATGACAGAGAAACGCTGACCTGAGTTTGTGGAAATGCAGGGACACTGGACCTGCATGATAGGGAGCCTGTATGGGACCATCCTAGACCATCTGCATCTGGGTGATAGTTTTATAGCTTGGTCTTTTCTAGGGTCCCTAGGAGTGGGGCCAGGATCTCTCCATGACCTTTGAGTTCACTCTTTGGAATCTATTTCTATGGATGCCTTGTCCAGGCTTCATACAAGAGGGAGGAACTTGGTCCTGCCTTAACTTGATATGCCATTCATTGTTGAATCCCATGGGAGGCCTTACTCGTTCTGAATGGAGATGGCAGAGGTGTAGATTCAGGAAGAAAATGGGGCAGAAGATTTGGAGACAGTAGAAGTGAAGGTGGTAAAGGAAAAGGGAGGATAGGAAGGAGGGGAAACCGTGGTTGGAATGAAAAATAATTAGTTAGTAAATTAATTAATTAACAAAAAAGAAAATGTACTCTCAGAACAATCATTGACCATGGAAGGACCTCTCTGACAAATACAGAGTTCAAGGAAGAACCTGACAGGGTGATATGAGGCAGAGGTGAGTTTACAGGGTCAGGTTCATTGTATCCCCTGCCATCATCCAGAAGATAGTGACTGCTTCAACCAGTGAAAAAGACAAGGATGAATTTTCCTCTCATGTTTGCCTTCTTTCTTTCTATAAATCATTAAAACCAAAAAGAGGTATTATTTTTCTTTAAAAGTGACATCTTACCAGCTTTCTCTCCTAGTCATGGGTTGTTACTGGTTCTTCCAGCTAGAGAAAGGATTTGAAAGTGCTCTATTCTGTAGAAATAGTGTGGCCACAGAAGACAAAATATGCTTACCAGAACTAGAGCAGACTGATCACCATCTTCATAAATATCCATGAGGGGCCTTGCAAAAGGCTGCCCAGTGCTTGGGGCTGGAGAGTCCAGACGGACATAGTCAGGGCCCCGCCGAAAAATCCAGTTTATCAAAGAACATCCTCTTCTAACTGTTTTCTTGGAATCTGAGGAATAAAGGAAGTCATTACTTGCAGTAGATTGATGATTTCCCAACATGGTACTATAATATTTGCTTAAAAAAGCTGCATACATCAAATAATTTAAGAGTGAACAGATAGGACACACTATAGAAGATGTGTGAAATTTCACCCAATTTCTTATCTATCTGGTCATTTTTTCTTTTCTGTATTTACCGTTAAATGACCTCATCTCACTGTTCAAGGTACTACACGGGATCCTGACTCTAGGAACCAACACTAAGTCAGTTACTCAAGTCTTCAGATGTGTGTATTTCTCTTGGAATAGACTTAGAAGTCAGAAAACTAGTAAGGGATGATGAGACAAATTTTCAAGGCAGTGACATTATAACACAATGATATAAAGTAGGAAAGAGAAATCGTGGAAAAATGTTAAATGATGTGGGAGTGAGAAGGCAGCAATGAGGAGTGAATACTGGGAGGATAACTAACATTTGATTTTTTTGAAAAGCCACCGGGAAATCAACTATTGTAGAAGCTGCGTAAATATATACACATACATATGTAAAAATAATATAAGTGGAGTTACCCAATAACTGGTGGTAATTCTCACTCTAGATCCAATTGTCTAACAAATATGCATTCTAGAAATGGAATACTCAGCCAGGCAGTAGTGGCACACTCCTTTATTTCCTACACTTGGACAGTAAAGGCAGGCAGATCTCTGGAAGTTCAAGACCAGTCTGATCGACAGAATGAGGTCCAGTATAGATAGCCAAAGCTGTTACATAGAGAAACCCTGTCTCAAAACCCAAAGAACAAAATCTGGAGCAAGTGAGTAGGAGGGTAAGGGATGGAGGAAGGGGAAGAGGAGGGGGGAAGGAATGCAGGGTGGAGAACTAGAGGGAACAGAGCAGTCAAGATGGAAGAAGGACAGAGATGGAGAGCAAGGAAAGTGATATTTTGGTTGAGGCGGCCATTATGAGACTAGTAAAAACCTGGCTCTACAGAAATCCCCAGGAAAACACAAGAATGACCCCTGCTAAGACCATAAGCAATGGAGGAGAGGGTGCCCGAACTGGCCTTGCCCTGGAGTCAGATTGGTGACTATCTTAAATGTCACCATAAAAGTTTTATATTGGAATGGACTTTCGTATCTTCTATGCAAATTTTGTATATAGATGCAAATTTGAGATTACTTTTGGTAAAACATACTGTACATATGTCTCTCATTTTGTTCAAGGAATTGTAGCTGTACAGCTCATTTAACAATGTAATACAAACAACTTATAACGTACAGCCTTCAGGACAACTTAAAATTTGCAGGCAAGTGGATGAATCTAGAAAACATATTGAGTGAGGTAATCCAGACCCAGAAAGACAATATCATATGTACTCACTCATATGTGGGTTTTAGACATAAAGCAAAGGAAACCAACCTACAGTACACAATTCCAGAGAACCTAGACAATAAATGAAGACCCTAAGAGATATATGAATCTAATCAACATTTGAAGTAGAAACAGACAAAATCTCCTGAATAAATTGGGAGCATGGGAACCATGGGAGAGGGTAGAAGTTGGGGGGAGAGGAAGGCAGGAGAGCAAAGAAAAAAGCTCTACAAAATCAATAAAAAATTAAAAAAAAAACAAAAAGAAAATATCTTCATCCAGCAACTGATGGACACAGAGGCAGATATCTGAAGCAGAGCCCTGATCTAAGCTCCCCAAGTCCAGTTGAAGAATGGGAGGAATGAGAATATGAGCAAAGAGGTCAAGATCATAATGGAAATACCCACTGAAACAGTCTACCTGAGCTAATGGGAACTCACTAACTGCAGCTAGACAGGGAGGAAACCAGCATAAGACCAAACTAGATTCTCCAAATGTGGGTGACAGTTGATGTATGGCTGGGGCAGACTGTGGGGTTTCTGGCGGTGGCACCAGGATTTATCCCTACTGCTTGTACCAGC